TGCGGTTGGACTGCTGGCGCTCGCATTCCGCGTCTGTCGGCCTTTTTCGTCCCATGGCAACCAAGTGTTTTTGCGTAGAAGTCAGTTCGCTGCGGTTGGAAGTGAAACGAATTTCAATCAAGTTTAATAAGTTTCATCAACTTTCATGATGTTTAGTATTATTTTATTTTGGATGCGGACGATGGATAATATAAAATATACTGCAACACCTTGTGGCGCTTCTCTATTCTGTGGATCAGTGGCGTTCACATTCCATTTCTGTCAGTGTCCACGCGTCCAGCAACTTAAAGTTGAATGAATGTAATGAAATTAGAATATATTGACCTTGATTATTTAAATTTTAAAAGTTCAATAACAAAATGAAACATGGATATAAGGTGTTGTGCCAGGTAGACATTGCATCCGTACTCTGCCCTCCACTTTGCGCTAATATGCCACGCGTGTAACGAGCGGGACGCTGAGGGAGACAAGGAGACCCGAGGGAGAGGAGAGAGGTAGAGAGTGAGAGCACACACACACACTCACTCACTCGACACGACTGAGGGTCGGACGCAGACACACGGGCAAGGACACAAAGTCGAAGTCTTGGATTCCGAATGCCGAACAGGAGCAAGTCACACTGAGTACGAGTACAGCAGCAGAAAACTGGTACGAGACTGGTCCCCGTACCGTACGGGGAGCCGGTATAAGTACCGTTGGCACGTACGGTACCAGGGGCATTTCTGCAAAGGCCCCGAGGACAGAACTGAAAAATGCAGTATTTGAAAGTGGCGCCTGAATTGCAGCATGGCGCCATTTGTCCAAAATCCTACGGTACCAAAGGAGGGGTTTGGAAAAAGGGTGCCAGGCCGAAAACAGGATGCAGCCGAAGCAGCAAAAAGATAGACCAGGGATCGAGCCCTGGCGAAGTCCGTAATGCTATCCCCTCCCTCTAGAAGGCAACGTCCCGGCTGCCAAAAATCATGAAGCAATGCTGAAATCTGTGAAGGACGGGACGGGGCCGATCACTGGTTAACAGGTCGAAAGGGAAGACGGGTATAATGTGGGTGGCATGGGCTGCGGGAGTAAGAGGGAACAGGGTTTGGTACCGGTGAACAGAGTTGTCCTACTGATGAACTAGGGGGGGGTGCAAGGAACAGGGTATTCCTACAAATGAACTAAAGGGAAGATAGGGAGCAGGGTGGTCCTATTGATGAACTAAGGGGACTGCATGGTTCGCTATAGGTTAAGGGGGAACAGAGTTCAGGGAACAGGGAATTTCTATTGATGTTCTACTGGGTAAGGGAAAC